AAATATAACGATACTTTTGGTACAGATGCACTAGTTTCAATAGAGGAACATGCCTATATAAATATTTATCAATAAAGAAAAAAAAAATCTAATTATTTCTAAACTCGGTGGCTATCTTAAAATACAGTACGCAATATCACTATCTAATTTCAATTATGATAAAATAATAATTAAAGACCAAAATTTTTTATGTCGCAAAAATCTCATTAAATTTTAATTTCAATTAGGTACATTCTACATGTTTCTGTATCATTTTTTTCATAATTATCAGTATGGAAATTTTATTGTAGATAATTCAGCATATCCAAAATTATATCTCATTAACGCATATATAAATGTTGCGATATCTGTACGTAGAGGCAATTTTTTAATTTTGCGAATTAATATTTACATAATTTGTTTTAAAACGTCATCGATATTTATTGCTATCAGTTCTAAACACACAATATACAGAGGAAACTTACATAAAATATGTTTGACTCTTGCTTAATAACTAGATCCTCTAGGTAATACCTATTTTTGATTCTCTTTCTCAGCCTGGTTCCATCCAGTGTTGGATATAGGCCTCTTCTAGGTTTTTCCATGCTTCGCGATCTCTAGCCAATCTTATCCATTGTCTTCCCGCCACTGCCCTGACGTCATCGACCCATCTCTATTTTGGTCGGCCCACACCTCTTGTTGTTGTTCCCCTAGGTCTCCATAGGATTACTTTTTGGGGCCATCGGTCTGGATCCTCTCTTGCCACATGTCCTATCCATTGCCACTTCAGACTTGCCACTCTTTTAACGACATCTATTAATTTTGTTTTTTGACGTATGTGGGTATTCCGTATTTTTTCCCTAATGGTGACTCCCAACATGATTCTTTCCATGGCTCTTTGTGCTACTCGTAGTTGTTCTGCTGTTTTTCGAGTAATTGCCATAGTCTCTAAGCCATACGTAAGCACAGGTAAAATGTCGTAAGCCTTTTTCATTAGGTTCATGGGCACCTTTTTATCCTTGAAAATATCGCTCATATTTCCAAATGCTTTCCAAGGATCCAAACGGATCCTGCGTTTGATCTCCGTATTTTGGTTTTCCTTGCCCAGCTTGATTTTATGACCTAAATATATATAATGGTATACGTTTTCAATAATAACGTTGTCAACAGTAATGTTATGGATATTGTTGCTCATTATCGTGGTCTTCTTCAAGTTCATTTTAAGGCCAATTTTCTGGGATTGGTCATTTAGCTCATTTAGCATGGTGTTTAGTTCTTGAATGTCGGCGCTCAGCAAGACAATATCGTCTGCGAACCTCAGATGGCTAAGGTGTACCCCATCGATGTTTAGACCTCTATTTTCCCATTCTAATTATAAATAATATAATATAATTATAATATTTTTGATTAATAAACATTAAACGTCAATTTTTCGTTTTCTATTTATTGTCTTTTTGCTTGTTTCCACATAACATTAATAGAATATCATTAGCAAATACCCAATATTATAAAAAAACAATCAAACTGAAAAAAAAAAAGTTCAACATACATATATCCAAAATAAACAACGGATATTTTATTTGATCGTTTTTTTCTCCGTCTTGTTTAGCCAATAACGTTTACCCAGGTTCGATTTAATCCAATACAAGCAAGGGAAGGAAATAAGAAAAAACAAATAAAATCGCAATAGCATCGGAAAAAACAGACAACATTTCAATCGAGCGAGACAAAAGGCCAACTGAGATTTACATAAATCCACTTCTCCCATCGTTTACCCGAGGAGGAAAAAAAGAGAGGAACGAAAAAAATGTTGGGATAAAATATCTTTTAATCTCTGAAGATTCGGTCGTTATCAATCATGTTTAAGGGCTTTCAATTTAAGGAATTAGGTTAATATGCTGGGCCCTTATCGAGCGGAAGGACAACCAACTTTTTTTTTATGTTACGTAACGAGCTTGAAGAGTTTTATTTGTTCCAGGGTTTAAGTAGAAAGAAGATAAAAACAATTTGGTTATCTATGTATCTAATGCGGCATATAGGGTGATTCACGGCCAAATCTATACTAATATATAAAATCCTTAAGTGACTGACTCACTGATTAATCACGATTCTGCTCAAACCACTCAACGTAAGAAGCTCAATTTTGGCATACATGTTGATTCTAGGGTGTAGAGGTTCGATAAGAAGGGATTTTTCGAAATTCCAGTTCCAAAGGGGTGTGAAAAACGGCCAAGTTTCCGAAAAAACTCTTAAACACGTATATTTTATTTTGTTGTTTTACATATTTTATTCTGCTTAAACTGCTTGACGTTTAAAGCTGATTTTTGGCAAACGGACTGACTGTGGGGTGTAGAGGTTCGATAAGGAGGGGTTTCTCGAATCTCAAATTCCAAGAGGGTGAAAACGCTCCTCAAATATTACAATATTTGTTGTTTAAAAAACGGTTGGCCTTTCAGGAAAACGCTTGGACACGCATAATTTATTTTGTTTTTTTACATATTTTGAATTTTTTTAAAAAAATCATACAGGGTGTTCCAAAAAGTTGGATAATTGATTAACCACGATTCTGCTTATACTGCTTGACGTAAAAAGCTTATTTTTGGCAAACGGATTTTTTGAAAGTCAAATTCCATCGAGATGAAACTACACCTCAAATATTACCAAGTTATATAATAATATCGCCATATTGTTTTTTCTCATGCTGACATAAATCTGAGAAAATTTTATCCAGTTTGTATGTTAACGGAAATTCTTGCTTTGCTTGAACCATTTGCAACTACAATATTTTAACTCCTTTTTAAACGGTTTTATTTAGCTCGACCCGTACGGTATTTATTTATTTGTTTGCTTATTTGGGTCAAAATTAGAAATTTAAGTACCTTACTGTTGTCAAATTGATCTGTTGTTAGATTGATCTACTCAACATGATTATTTTTCGTCAATAATAACATGTATTGACTATTTCCATTCTAAATATCTTAAGAACGGTTGCTCGTAGCGATTTTTACAAAGAGATATTTTTTGCGTAAAAAGTCGCAGAGATGTATATTTTTGGCCTCGGTAGTTTTATACAGGTGCGGACTAAAAGTTATTACGCTTTAAAACAGTTAACACATGTAGGTGGCGCCCTCTACCAGTAGGAGTCATATTGAATGAAATATGAAATTTCTCATGTCTCAAATTATTTGGAAAAAATCGAAATAAAAATGAAATTTTACACCCTGTCTCCGAAACTAACCATTTTGGGACATGAACTTTTTTACTTATTTTTATCTGCAGAATATGCCGACAAAGTTTCCGGATTACTGTTCGTACCACCCTGTAAAATACAGCTTCTTATTATGTCTCTATACACTAATATCATTTATCACCATATTTAATGTCTTTTATATAATATCAAATTTATTATTACTAACTTATCTACCGATAATTTAGAAAAAAAATATTTTATTACAAATAAATTGTATCTATTTTTTTATCGTGTGATAAAATTTTGGCTTTATCTGTAGTTAATTACCATACTAAAACGGATAGATAAAATTGATGTTATGTCTTCTGCATTCTATGTTTTAAAATTTTCGTATTGTACTTAAACTTATCAAATTTTACATTAGTATTAATGTGATGTTATTGAGTTATCAAGTTTAATATATTATTTATACATTATCGAAATATTAATAACAATGAAATATCAGAATTTATGACATAGGCTTAATTCAAATCTATAATAATATATAAAAACCTTAAGTGACTGACTCACTTATTAATCACGATCCTGCTCAAACCACTCAACGTAAGAAGCTCAATTTTGTCATACAGGTTGATTCTAGGGTGTAGAGAGTCACGGGTGTAGAGGAATAAGGAGGGATTTTTCGAAATTCCAGTTCCAAGAGGGTGAAACCACCCCTCAAATATTAAAATATTTTTTTATTTAAGAAACGGTCAAGTTTCCGAAAAAACGCTTAAACACGTATATTTTATTTTGTTTTTTTACATATTTTAAGATTTTTTAAAAATGTATACAGGGTGTTTCGAAAAATCTGGTCATTGATTAATCACGATCCTGCTTAAAGCGCTTGACGTAAAAAGCTGATTTTTGGAAAACAGATTAACTTTAGGGTGTAGAGGTTCGATAAGAAGGGATTTTTCGAAACTCGAATTCTAAGGGGGTGAAACTATCCCTCAAATATTAAAATATTTTTTATTTAAAAACCGGTGAGTTTTTCGGAAAAATGCTTAAACGCGTATATTTCATTTTGTTGTTTTACATATTTTAAGATTTTTTAAAAATTTATACAGGGTGTTTCATAAAATATGACCATTGAGTAATCACGATTCTGCTTAAACTGCTTGACGTTTAAAGCTGATTTTTTGCACACAGATTGACTGTGGGGTGTAGAGGTTCGATAAGGAGGGGTTTCTCGAATCTCAAATTCCAAGAGGGTGAAAACGCCCCTCAAATACTACAATATTTGTTATTTAAAAACGGTTAGTCTTTCGGGATAACGCTTGGACACGCATAATTTATTTTGTTTTTTTACATATTTTGAAATTTTTTAAAAATTGATACAGGGTGTTCCAAAAAGTTGGGTAATTGTTTAACCACGATTCTGCTTAAACTGATTGACGTAAAAAGCTTATTTTTGGCAAACGGATTTTTCGAAAGTCAAATTCCAACGAGATGAAACTACCCCTCAAATATTACCAAGTTATATAATAATTTCGCCATATTGTTTTTTCTCATGCTGACATAAATGTGAGAAAACTTTATCCAGTTTGTATGTTAATGAAAATTCTTGCTTTGCTTTATCATCACCATTACCAATGATTAATTTGACGCGAACGACGTCGCGGGTACACGCTAGTTTTTCAAGAAACTTCCTACTAAATACCAAAATCGCCACCATATTGATTAATTGAATTATACTTATTATTTCTACATCTCTGAATTAACTACATGTAAAAAATGGAAAATGTCAAGATGGAGGACCACAAATCCAAGTTATAAAAATCGGACTTACCTAGAAGATATGCCAGCAGTATCCCTATGGTGATTTGGACTTGAAAAAATGTCCCCAGCGTGCCCCTAATGGATATATGAGCTATCTCAGCTACGTACATCGGAGCTGTTACGCTGATAGCGCCCCCTGCAAATCCAGCTACAAATCGGGCCAGGTAGACAATGAAGATAAGGTCACTGTAATAGAATATAGATATTTTTATATTATATTTTAGCCTGTAAGAATTTTGAATAATCTTTAATTATAACATATTTCTTTTCAAATGAAACTAGTAAAAAATAAAATAATCCTCAATTTTCCTTTAAACTTATTTTTATAATGACATAAAACTAAAATGCTATTGCGCGAAAATGTTCGAGGTGATATTATGGATGTTACATAATATAATATAAATTTGCTGAAAAAATCTTTCTGTTGATTAATGTAAATCAAGTTCTTGAAGTACAATTAAAATTGAATTTAAGAAAATTTAACAAAACTTTAAATCTCGTATCTGTCTTAGGCCATGATAGAAAAAGTTACATGAGAAAAAGCTGACGTCAATTAGATTAAAATATAAATTTATCAGTGTCTCTTTATTTGTATACAGAAAGTTTCATAACCAAGAAAAAATGTTTTGATCTTTTCACGGGTCATGAAGAATAAAATTAGTAAATGAAATAACTGTAATTTTAATCGTAGAAAATCACGAGATTTAAAATTATTTATGTATATTATTAAATTAAAATATCAATTTTTTATTATCATAAAAATAAACAATTGAAAAATTTATTTATTTAATGTAAAAATGACCAAAACTGATATTCAAAGATTAGTCATCTATTTTCATTGATTAAAACTACTCTATATCTAATCTGTTTTTCAGAAAAAAAACAGTATGTACAGGGTGGGTCAAATTCGACGCTTTTAAACGGAAACACCCTTTTCTATAGGAAATAGACAAAAACGTGTCTGGAGCTCAATTTTTGTCAAAAACATGATGGTGAAAACCGCATATCGATATCTGTTACCGTTTCGGAGTTACGGGGTGTTTTTCAAAAATATACATTTTTAATAAATCGCTGTAACTTTTTTGCTATGGAAAATTTTGTATTTTTATGAAAACGTTTCCAAAGCACCTTTTTACGTAAAATATAATGGTTTAAGTATAATTTTTTTAAAATTAATAATTTAAGAATTATCAATAGAAAATTTGATTTCTTATATGAGACACCCTGTATATTTTTAATTTATTGAAAAGAATTTAAAATTACCTTTCCAAAAATATAACACACTTGATATTTTGCTCGATTCCTCTTCGAGACCGGGTGTAATGCAAAAAAATTCTAGCTGTGAGAGTCAATTAAAACGAAAATAATATTTGTTATGAGAGATGCAGAATTTTATAACAATTTAAAATATATTTAACCAACATCAACACATTTAAACTATATCTAATAACAATAAAAATAAATAGCAAACCAAGACATGAGATTTTGCTACAGGTGTTCGACATATCGACCGTTTTCTGTTATGGACAGACGGGGCCGTTTTTGAACATTTCTCGCGGAATTCATTAACTCAGTGGGGGTGAAAGATACCCTCTCATAACTGCTAAGTATTTCTAATTATTGTCTAGATTATACAGAAGAATAAGGAACCTTTATTCTTCCGCAAATATATCCATATGATTAGATCCATGGGCACTAAGCCAGGCGGCCTCGACGGCCAACGGCTGCGATCTTGGTTAGCTATTCAATTATTCTTGAAATAGGCTGCAAAAATTTGCTGACAATTTCAGTGTTCTGAGGTGGTGCGTCGTCTTGCTGGAAAAATATGTTTTCGAGTTCGATTAAGGGCATATCAGCAATAAGGGGTCCAAAGCCTACTATAGTTAAAAGTGGCGAACTTTTAAATATTCTGTTTTTCGAAGGGGATTATATACAAAATATCAAGTGTGCTATATTTTTGGAAAGGTAATTTTAAATTCTTTTCAGTTAGTTAAAAATATAAAGGGTGTCCCAAATAAAAAATAAATTTTTCTGTTGATAACTCTTAAATTATTAATTTTAAAAAAATTATACTTAAATCATTAAATTCTACGTAAAAAGGTGCTTTGGAAATGTCCATAGCAAAAAAGTTACAGCGATTTGTTAAAAATGCACATTTTTTAAAAACACCTCGTAACTCCGAAACGGTAACAGATATTGATGTGCGGTTTTCACCATCATGTTTTTGATGAAAATTGAGCTTCAGACACTGATACTAGTTTTCGTCTATCTTCTATAGAAAAGGGTGTTTCCATTTAAAAGCGTCAAATTTGACCCACCCTGTACACTATGTACGTATATTTGAAGTGAAACTTCTTGCTAACAGCCATTAAATTTATATAAGCTAATAACTATTTGATATGATAATAACAATGGTGACAGGTATTGCTAATTTCGATTCCAAATATCTCGAGAACCATTACTCGTAGCGATTTTTACCAAGAGATCTTTTTAACGTAAAAAACGTCGTGAATGTATATTTTTACTGAGTAGTTTAATACAGGTACGGACGAAAAGTTATTACTCTTCAAACCAGTTAAAAAATACGTGTAGGTGGCGCCCTCTACAAGTAGGAGCCATATTGACATCAAAATAAAATTTCTCATGCCCAAAAACTCCCAGACACCAATTTCCATCCAAATATTAACGTTACTTCAGAAATTATTTTGAAAAAATCGAAATAAAAATGAAATTTCTATACACCCTGTATCTCCGAAACTAAGCATTTTAAGACATACATTTATACGAACTTTTTTGCTTATTTTTATCTGCAGAATACGCCACCGAAGTTTCCGGAATACAGTTCGGACCACCCTGTATATTATATTGATGTAAGCTAGTATATTTAGAAAATCTCTACTAAAGAATTTTTCTAGTAATTCAGTACTTACTAAAAATATGCAATGAAAATCCAACTAAAGAACAACGGTATTATGATCATTTGCAGGAATCTCTTTCTGCCAAAAACTTGAGCTAGTGGTCCAGCCGGTATAGCTCCAACGAACGCTCCTAATGTGACCAAAGATCCTATCCATGCTCCTTGTGACTTACTGATACCCACTTCGCTTTCCATAACTGGCAACGCTGGTGAGGTCCATGTGAACACCATGCCCAAGCATACAGCAGAAAAAGTGCCTGGAGAAGTAAATGTATAAACATCACTTATTAAAAATAAACAAAAAAAAACTACTTCTAATTGCTATTGTTTTAGTTCATACCAAATAAAAAAAATACTAAAAAATATTTTAGGAAACAAAAATAAATTAATTATAATTATATAAACAGTTATTATTTTCCATTTAGAGAAAAGGGGTCTAATAAAAACACGAATATATATACACTCACCGGTAAAAAAAACCGGCCACCAAAAACTAGTCCCACTTTCAAAGTTGGATTTCTCGCGAACCACTCATTAGATTTTGATGTTTTTTTATTATAATTGTAGTTCCTTCTTAACGGATGCTACGTCAGACATTTTTATTCCGAATTTATTTTGAGCATATACAGGGCACAACAAGACGAAGTTTTTTGCCCGAACTTTGTAACACCCTGTAGGGTGCAGCAGCTGTAGTAGCTATTGCTAAATCAAATCACATTGTAGCCTCATCTTTTGTGAGCATTTTGTTTTTTTTTTAATCACATTATCTGTTTGTATTGAAGATACGCTGATTTAAAACCAACATCTCAGAAAAATGCTTCACAGGAAAAACCGATTCATTTGCGAGCGATTCATCCGTGAAAAGGACTTTAGTCCATTGCCCAATATCCCAATTCACATGTAAACGCGCAAACTGAAGACGTGCTCGACGATGTCTTGGAAGTAGCTGGGGTCCTGTGGCAGGCCTCCTTGCAGGCAAGCTGTTTACTTTTAGTCTTCGTCGGATTTTTCTCTCACTGACCTGAGTTCTACGCACCGCTTGTAGCAGATGTTGATTCTGAAACGCTGCAATTCTACGATTTCGTAAAGTATTCAGGACAATAAAGCGGTCGTCAATTGCATTTGTCTTTCGTTTTCTTCGAGAACCCACTTGCCTGGTGAAATTTCCCGTTTCCATATACCGATTCCAGTCATCCTTGACTGTTGTTCGTGGTATACCCAGAATATCGGACACATAACGTTGACTTCGGTCATCCTCAATTACAGCCACAATACGAGCAACATCCATCACAGATAATGGCATTTTTTAATTTGACAATGATGTCGCCTTGATTATGTATACATAAAACTTTCTGCCGGCGAAGCATTTTTCCGACACGTTCGTTTTAAAGCAGCGTAGCTCCAATACAAACAGAGATAATGTCGTGATTAAAAAAACAAAATGCTCACGAAGGATGAGGCTACAATGCGATTTAGAGGAATTTTAGAGCAATAGATACTACAGCTGCTGCACCCTAGAGGGTGTTACAAAGTTCGGACAAAAAACGTCGTGTTATTGTTGTACCCTGTATATGCTCAAAATAAATTCGGAATAAAAATTTGTGACGTAGCATCCGTTAAGAAGGAATTAATTAACAATTTAAAAAAAAATCATCAAAATCTAATGAGAGGTTCGCGAGAAATCCAACTTTGAAATCGGGACTAGTTTTTAGTGGCCGGTTTTTTTGCTGGTGAGTTTAGTTGATTTTTTTCCTCAAATCCTAAAAATGAAAACGCATTTCTATGGTAATATAACTTGGTTTTCATTCTTTGGTAGATTGTTATTCATAGAATTTTAATTTAACGTAATATTTTTTGTTGTTTCAAAATGTTAAAGAAGCACAAACTTTATTTATTTCAATGCTAAGGAAAGGATGATGATAGTTATCGGAAAATGAGAAACTTTAACAACAACAGCAAAGAATATGACGTTAATCAAAATTAATAATAACCACTATCAAAGAATAAAATCGAATTGATATGTTGACTTTTAATAAACATGAATTAAAGTATAATAATTTATGGTTAAATTTAATTTGTGAAATAAAAAATATCAGTAATTAGATATTTTTATTTTTTTTCTAAAAAAACAACTGGGTTAATTATAATATTATAGTGATAATTGATAAATTAATAGTGTACTGTCCCATATTGCACTATTAATAGACATGTAAACATTGTTGCATGTGCTATTGGCGTCATAGTCTGATGACCAAAATACAAATATTTTGTATTATCTAATAATTATCTTAGGCTAGAACTAAATTATATGAAAAAAAAACAGTTTTTGCAATTTTTAACAATTTTTATCCAATATATATTTAGGTATACTGTTCAATATAATAATTCTTTTTAGCAAACAATATACAGGGTGTTTCAAAACAAATGCGAAAAACTTCAGGGGGTGATTCCTTCTTCAAAATAAAGGGTAGTTTGCTTCATAAGCGTTGGGTCAAAAGTCAACCATTAGGGAGATATCGCGGTACAAAGATGGCGGAAAAATAATGTTCTTATTTTTTATCTTGAAAACGAAAAGAGATAGACTAATGAAATTTTATGGAAGCATTACTGTTATGAAAACACACTTTCTGGTAATTTTTTCACCTTTTTAAAATGAGTGGAAGGGGTTGAAATAAACTACCCTATTATTCTTGTTAACGAAATTTAAAGAAAAATCTTATCAAACACATGCAAAAAAAATAATTTGGGTAGTTTAGTTTGTTTAGAAACTTTTTTATCTCTTGTATTTTTTTGATAAAACTCACCGATTTGAAATTAAAAAATAAAATGTAAAGCATTACATGTCAGGACAAAAAAAAATTTTCTGATAAAGAATCTAGTGGGCTGCTGTAATTTTTTTAGAAAAAAATCTAGTCGGCCGCTGTTACTTTTTAGGATGTTTCTAATATTATTTTATTTGACATTACTCTACTGCAATAGGTTATTATCTAGATGATTATTATTATCGTTATTATCACTAGATTCTTAATCTAAAATTTTTTTTTGTCCTGACATGTAATGCTTTACATTTTATCTTTTAATTTCAAATCGGTGAGTTTTATCAAAAAAACACAAGAGATAAAAAAGTTTCTAAACAAACTAAGCTATCCAAATTAATTTTTTTTTGCATGTGTTTGATAAGATTTTTCTTTAAATTTCGTTAACAAGAATGATAGGGGTAGTTTATTTCAACCCCTTCCACTCATTTTAGAAAAGTGAAAAAATAACCAGAAAGTGTGTTTTCATAACAGTAATGCTTCCGTAAAATTTCATTAGTCTATCTCTTTTCGTTTTCAAGATAAAAATTAAAAACATTATTTTTCCGCCATCTTTGTACCGCGATATCTCCCTAATGGTTGACTTTTGACCCAACGTTTATAAAACAAACTACCCTTTATTTTGAACAAGGAATCACCCCCTGAAGTTTTTCGCATTTGTTTTGAAACACCCTGTATAACATAAAAAATAATATTATACTTCTTCCGATATAATGATCTCGTTTTTCATTCATTCACCATTATTATTTTTTGTTACTTTTGATTATATCAACAACAAAGCCATTAAAATATATCGCTGAAAACAAAAGAACGAATAAAAGAACAAAAAAATAAAAGTGTCCATTAAAAATTTAACAAGCAGGTTTATATTTAACGTACGAAATAAATAATAATTTTTTTTTATATAATTTACAGTTGGTATACAGGGTGCTACAAATTCGAGGTACGAGCATTGGTAACTCGGTAACCGTGATAGATACGAACATGGTTAAATTGGGGCAAAGTTGCCCGCTTTGAGATGTTCACCAAGATGCCATCAAATAAGTTTTAAAAATTTCATGGATCGCTGAGTTTTTTGGAAAAAACGGATATTTTTAAAATAAATTTTATTTTTTCCTGTCGTTACTTTTTAGAAAATCAAAAAACTAATTGCACATTCTATAGCCACTTTATTAGGGCTATCTGATAGTATTTTTAGATTTTCAAATCAGCTGATAATTTGTGAGATACAGAGGCCAACTATTTTTTTTTAAATACGGACCTGAATTTTTTATTTCAGATATTGAAAGAATTCGCTCTCCTGAGTACAGTGATATGCCACACATATTTTTTTTGTTTTTAAAATTTGGACACAATTTATTTAAACTAATTTCAAGTCCGGCTCTGTTTTTTTTAATATTTAATATATTCATCGTTACAATATTGATAAACTTTCAAACTTAACAGTGACGTGGGTGGAATACGGAAAATCAAATGCAATAAAATAATAAAAAATAATATCAATATAATGTAATATAAACAATCAAATCATTTCCCCGTAAGATGGATTGGAAATGGTACAGCAGTATAATGGTCAGCGAGGTTCCTGAACCGTCTGATGACGTCAAGTAATTCAACAGGTCCAAATTTTACAAAAAAAGTGAAATCCACACATCTTGGCAGTTACAATAAAGTGTACAAAATGCATTCGAAAGTATAAGAAGAAGATCTATTCAAAAGCTATAAATAAAATTGAAAGAAAAATAAATTTGTGCAATGGGAGGGTGGTAACCCTTTCGAACACGTAGACTATGTAGAGCATTACAAACTAGTTTGTAGAAGTTAATGTATTCATAATAACTATGAATAATATTATGCAAGTTATTAGATCGTACACTGAGAATTTCAAATTCACAATAAGAAATGTTAAAAATAATATCTTTAAATCGCTTATCTGGATATTATTTATTCGAATCTTCCAATTGGCTCAATTTTCCTTATTCAGTGTTAATTAGCGCTGATCAATATTGTTGCGATGAATATAATCAGAATAAATAATTTAAAAAACAGAGTCGGACTTGACAATTTTTTTTAAATAATAATTAAATAGTAATAAACAAAAAAAGTATAAAATGTGGAATATCATTGTACTCAGGAGACTGAGTTCTTTCAAAATCTGAAATAAAAGATGCAGGTCCGTATTTAAAAAAATTAAGTTGGCCTCTGTATCTCACAAATTATCGTCCTATTGCTGCCAAAAGTCACTAACTAACATTTTTCCGAACAACCAAATTCAATCACTAACTATGTTTTGAAGCGGAGAATCGATTGCAAAAGTCATTAACTACGATTTCTGGCTATTTATGTTTTATTTTAATACCGAATAGTTACTAACTATAACAGACATCTGTATGCAATGCAATTCATTTTTAGACGCATTTTTCTCGGAACTTATAAAGAGT